TGTCGGTCAGTCGCATGATTTTGACAATTGATTAGTAAGGCAATCAGTTAAAGTCAATCGGTCAATCAATAGGCATATCAGTTACGTAAGTCAATCGGACAATCAATCTCTGATTTCCTCACTCAGTCATTTGGTTTATCAACCAACCCATCATAGTTGGAGTCTATCAAATAGTCCATTTTAAGCAATCAATCAAGATCAATCATAAATAGTAAATATCCATCAGTTAGTTACTTAGCAGGCACGATCAATCAAGCATATCAATCAATCAATTATTTCATATCAGTTTCCAGTGCCGCTCACTTCATGTGGGACCACTGTGCGACACATCAATTCATACGCAACCGGAGCAAGTACAGTGAAGACTCGACGACGGCAATTGAGGCTGGTGAAGTGCACAGAGCTAAAGTAAATCAAATGCGCAAATATTTCACGGAAAAGTGGAACAATCGATTAAGCATTTCAGCATTTCAGCAGCATAGCACACACAAAAACCAACAGCAAACCGGCAGCAGCAGATAATGTTGCTGTTATTAGGGCAGTCAGCGGTGCCGCCCAAGCAGCAGCAACAGTAGTAGCAATCGGAGCAATGGATAAAGAAAAACAACAACAACAACAACAACAACTGACCAATAGCCACCCAGAAGGGCATTTGGTGCGCCCACAAGCCACGAATTGAACACAAGCCAAGGAAAAAGAGCATCTGCATCTGCAATTGCAACTGCAACGGCAACTGCAACTGCAACTGCAATGGCAATTGTGTGTGGTGTTGGTGGTGCGGCTGTTGGTGCGGTGCATAGAAAGTGCAAACAGTTTTTTAGGACTTGTCCAATGCGATGCGTCTGCAACTGAAAGTTGCCCCGTCTGCCCGGTATAAACAAACAGACGAATGGGGAAACCGATCAGCGCTGACAACAAACGCATGCCACGAGCAACAGCAGCAGCAACAGCAGCAGCAGCAGCAGCAACAATTGCCGCAGCAGCCGGCTAAGTCGATACCGATAGCGATACCGATACCGATACCGCAGCACCGTATTTGTATTCGTGTCTCAGTATATTACTTTTTGCTGCTGTCTATCAATGAAAAGAAGAAATTTCGCCATCAACAACGGCAGCAGCAACAGCAACAGCAGCAGCAGCAGCAGCAACAACAATAGCAGCAACAGCAACATCAATACCTACAGCAATACCTACAACGGCAGCAGCAGCAACGACAACGACAACGACAACAACAACAGCAACGGCTCGCTGCTCGCTGCGCTGCTTGGCTCGTGGTTGTCGGCGCCGTTGCGCATGCGAAGTGTTTCGCTGCGAGAAAGCAGGTGGATGCAGCATTCGGCGCTTAACCACGGCGCGAACCAGACGCGTTTTCAACCACAACGCTTGCCGCCAACCGCTGCAGCAGCTTTAGCAGCAGACACAACCAATATACACTAAACAGAAAGAACAAAAAAAAAAAAAAAAAAAAAAAAAAAAAAAAAATAAACACAAATTGTAATTGAAAACCTACAAAAAATACGAAAAACAAAACGAAAGCCAACAATAAATTTGTATTTGTTTTGGCCAAGTGCAACATTTACATTTTTTTTTTTAACAAACAAGAAGAAGCAGCAGCAACAACACTCCTGTGCTCCTCTGTGTATGTGTGTGTGCGTGTGTGTGCCAAAGCGCGCGTATCCTTGTTTTTTTTTTTTTGTTATTAAATAATTTCATTTTTTTTTTCTGTTGACTCTTTTTGTTAGACTTTTTTTTTTGTATTGTGTGTTCGCGCGCCTGCAACAGTTGTTGATTGTCCGCGTGCTAGTCGAACTGCAACAGCAACAGCAACAACAGCAAACAATAAGAGCTTCAATTTGAGGCAATTTGCGGCATTGACAACAACAATAAGTGCAACTGCAACTGCCAGCAGCAGCAGCAGCAACAACAACAACAACAACAACAGCAGCAGCAGCAACTGCAACAATAGCAACGCACAACAGCAACTGCTTTCGAAAGTCGCATCGAGCACATCCTGTTGTTCGGCATTGCATCAAAATTGGAATTGCTCAGCTCTTGGAATTGGTCCAAGGTGTAGGTAAGTGTTGTGCAAACGCACACACACACACACACACACACACATACATAAACACACACGTACCCCTATACATACACAAATACACAAACAGAAGTTGCTATACAGCTGGGCTTCAGTCAGAAATTTGTAGCCTCAATCAATTTGATTGATGAACTCACTTAGCATCAATTTTGTCATAGCTCGTCAATTTGAATGTCTCTTAAACTGTGTACAAACTTAATTTAAATTAAACTCTAAAATTTTGATGGCTTAATCCATCAATTGTGAATTGAAGTTTCCAAGGATTGACCTTGATTGATCAACTGAGGCCCAACTCAATTTTAATGCTAAGCGTGCAGCTAGTACTGGTTAGGAATAAGGCCTTGATACCTTTGTACATCAATCAATCATTCAATTAATCAGTCTATCAGTGAATTTAGCAATCAATCTAACAATCATTTTATCAATCATCAATCAATGTAAGACAAAGTGTTCTAGTGAAAAAATTATATATTAGATCATGATTGACTAAATATAGCAAGATATTTACATACATTTTATCTATTTATATGAGAATAAAAATATTGGAATAAAGGATTTATGAGACTACAGGACAATTAAGTAAATATTACTATAGTAGTATATTTTCCTTATTGATGTCCTGCATAAGCAATCATTTGATTATATGTGATCTAACTAATCTCATATATGCATAAGAGTATATATATTTATAGTTGCGTTTAAATACTAGAATGGTTTATCACGTATCAAGATCAAAATGTCTCAAAATCAATGTAGAAATATTGTCGAATTCTTTCAATTGAACAGTATAATATATGGGATCTTATCTAGAATGCGATATGGATATATATTTATGCAATTTTATAAAAACGAAAATTCACATCCGCTTTTACTTCTTTTTTCGTATTTTTCCTATAAACATATATATACATACATATAAGAATCTCATATCGTTTACCTATTTGATTTCTTCACACTCGTATATATTTGTAAAGAAATATATGAGCTATAGGACTTAAGAATTTATTAGTTTTCATAAATTCCGTATTTATAAAGAATAATATTCAGTTAGTTCAGATACAAGATAGTCCTACATAACAAATTGTTTCTAAGAATATTTAATTTTACAGAACAGTTTGATCTTAATTCATAAATTGTTTGAAAGATAATACTAGAATGAAGCAGATGTGTTCTATATGTATTCATATACTACCATATATTTTGGAATCTTATATACAAATATATTTTTCTCCTAAATTGTACTCAAAGACTTTGACAACAGTTCACTTCAGATCTTATGGCCATGATATGCTAACATCTAAAATATATTGCTTAAATACATACATATAAAATTCACCTTTTCCTGAATTATTTTGAGCCACTATAAGTATATAGATAAAAGATAATAATAATATATATTACCAGAGATAAAACTATAAAAATATCAAATTTTGAAATTGATGAGAGTTTCAATGTTAGTGAAACATTTGAATGATGTATGTATAGATGATACACATGACAGATATATGATGTGAGGATGATATAGGATCAGAGTACTTGCTGCTTTATCCAAAAAAAGATCTGTTCGACTGATTCATTAGATTCTATATGGGGTTATGTTTATCTTTATGGCCCTAGCCTCACTCTCTCTCTCTCTCGCTCTCTGCCTCTCTCGCCCCCTCTCTGCCCCCTCCCTATTTCTCTTTCACTTGGACTGCCTGCCACTTATTTCTGGTCTACTGAAAGTAGCCTGTCTGAAGACTGAAGTCTGCAGTCTCCCGTCTTCAGTCTCCCGTCTTCAGACTTCAGTCTTCAGTCTTCTGCAGTCTTCACTCTAGACTCTTCAGTTTCGAGTTTTGCAGTTTGTCAGTCTTGAGTTTTCTAATTGCTCGACTCGTATTTGTCTTGGGCCTGTTGACGTTGACCCACTTGGCTGATGGAACACATTATTAACACATTTCACCTCCAGCAAGCCACCTGACCAGGTGAATAAGTTGTCATTAAAAAGAAAGACAAAAAAAAAAAAAAAAGAGAGCCGCTGCTGCTGCTGCTTCTTCTTTTTTCTCAGCTTGCAGCCTGTCACTTGTCGCTGTTTAATGTATTTTGGCTGTTGTCTTTTTGTTTTTCAATTCGTTTGCCCAATGCACCGCTTTGGGCTTTCAATTGGAAGGGCGTGGCAGCTGGGCAGCTGGGCAGTTGGGCAGTTGGTCACTAAGTACCTGTTGCAAGTGAGAGTCAAACAGGTGTATGGGTGGGGGGAGGGCGTGGTGTAGTCGGAGGAGAAATCGATGTGAATCAATGAATAAATGTCAAATCAATCAAACGAATCAGTCAATCAAACAGTCAATCAGTCAATCAGTCAAGCGGCGGCATTTCCAGCCGCGAAATTAATAGCAATAAATTGATAATTAACAGACAAAGCCTCAGCTGAAAGCGAAAATGCCAATAATCAAATAATGATGCTAGCAACAGCAACAGCAACAACAACAGCAACAACAACAGCAACACACAAACACACCGACAGCAGCAACATACACAACAGCCACATGTGAAAAGCAATCAAGTAAACACTTTCTAGTGTTTCAACAACTGTTGCCGCTGTGTCTGCTGCTGCTGCTGTTGCTGTTGCTGTTGTTGTTGCTGTTGCTTCTATATTTCTAACTGCTTGTCACATTTCATTTCATTTGCTTTCCAACAACAATATATTGCAGGCAGCGACAGCGACAACAGCCAAAAGCGCGCACATGACAGCAAAAATAACGTATTAATTGCAATTTATGCACATTAACAACAAACAACGACAACAGCAACAGCAACAGCAACAACAACAAACAGCAAACAAACAACAACAATAATAAACAACGTGCCAGCTAGCAACAACATGCAGCGACAACAGCAACACTCACAGCTACAGCAGCAGCAGCAGCAGCAACAGCCAAATAACTTAATGCAACAACAACAGCAACAACTAAAGCAACAACAACAACAAATGCGCTGCCATAGCTGTCGACAACGTCTGGGGATCAAAAAGATTTGGCTGCCGCTTATCATCTTCCTTTCACTGCAGGTGAGCAACAACAACAACAACAATAACAACAATAGCAATAACAACAATAACAAACAACATAAGCTTCTTTTCAACTGCTAAACACACACACACACACACATCATTTAAATCTATTAAAGCCAAATAACAACAACAATTTGCAATTTCGATAATTATCGATCAGCGCATCTGTGTGTAAAGTGAAAGAGATTTGCAACTTAACACGCTCTAAAGTAGCTGCAAAGATCAAAAGATAGCCATGGCTGGAGCAGCAGAGGTATCTTGTGCTTTCCACTTATCTATAATCTAGTAATCCGATTTGGATTTAGATAAAATGCCAAATGCCACTACAAGTTTTATGTACAAACAGACAATCGAGCTGATTGATCGATATATAGATATACGTAGTAGCCAGATATAGACAGCATTATGAGCTTACGAAACATAGATGTTGATCAATTATTATTATTATATATGTAATATATCCATATGTGTATATCATGTTATATATTAAGTTTTACTTAACTTTGCCTTCAAGCTCTCTCCACATCTCAGAGAAAACATATAGATAAATATTAGATATGATTAGTATTAATTCTACTTTTGCAATTTCAATGGATAATGACAATGTCTAAAACTTTATCTTCAAGAGATTTCAACTATAATTACTATAGATCTTGCTAGCTTCTAGGAGCTATATCAGCTGCATTTTAGAACCATTTCGATAACCATTTGAAATATAAAAATGATTTTAAATTTATTTATAAAAATATTTTATTATTATATGTTGTATAAGTAAAAAAAATTTATATATACTTCCATATATGTCTATATACATACATACATATATGTATATACATAATCCGACTTATCTTGCTATGAAAATGAAGCTCAAGATGATAAGCTCTCCATGATATAAAATGGAACTGTAGATAATGCATAGGATTGTACGATATGTCTATCTATAATTAGTTTTACATTCCTCATCTCTCTTGTTTAGCTCACCATTTACTACCTCACTTCTCATTGTCTACTTCTTATTAACTTCATCTATCGCACTTTTTCTAGTTCCTCATTGCTTTGAGTCTGATTCCCCAATATCTTACCTTCGCTCTCTCTTTCACATTCCTGATTTCTAATTGCCAGTTCGTCGCCCCTTATTTTTAATATTTCATTTTTTTGCCCTAATAGTTCCTCGTTCCTTGGTTTCCTTTCTGATTCATAATTCCTAATCGTTCGTCATTCTTCAGTTTATGTTGCCCACTTCCAGCACCTCATTTCTCCTCATTCCCTTCTCGGCGTTTATTTCTCGTTACTCACAATTTTCCACATTCCTCATTCTTAGTTCACAATGGTAGATTCTCATTCTTAATTCGTAGTTCTCAATTTCTCGTTTCTCATTCTTCATTTCGTGCTCCTAGTTCGACCATCGTCTTGCTTCATTTCCCGTTTCCCGTTTCTCGTTCTCTATACTTCATTCCTTATTCCTTGCGCACACAGTCTCCGTTCTCCCACTTTCCCTTCGCCCACCCTTCTCGCATTGCTCGTTTCCCATATTCCGTTCTCCCATATCGCGTTGACCATTGACCATTCCTCATTCCCCGTTCCTCATTCCCCCATTTCGTTTTCCCCACACCTCAACTCCCATGCAACATTCCCTGTGCCTCATTCCGCTCATTCCGCGCTGCCTATGACACAATTGAATCATGGACTCGAAGCTGATTTCCCTTTCCTTTGGCACGACTGCTGCCACAACAGCAACAACAACAAAGGAAAACTCTTCCTTTTCGCTTCGATTTTTGTTTTCTTCTTCCAAAAATTTCATTTTTTTTCCCAGCCTCGTTGCGTTCAACTTTGAACCATCGGCTAGATCTTGTCCAGGTTTTTGTCTGCTGCCAAAAAATAAAAAAAAATGGTAGGAAGAAAAAAGAAGACAAAAGATTTTCGCATGCTCTGGACAGAGAGAAGCTGCTGCGGCTGCTGCGGCTGCTAGCTGCAACTTTTTCACATTTACTTTCTCTCGCTCTGCCAGACTGCGATTCGAACCCGGAGCCAGACAGCAAAACTCGACATTTCAGCATTGGTCGAGGTCAAGATTAACAACAACAGCCGGCATTGGCACTGGCTCTGGCTTTGGTTCCGTCTTCAGCTCCGGCTGCCGCATCATTAGCTGTCGCATTAGCAGCAGCAGCAGCAGCAGCAGCAGCTGCTCACGACTTTGTTGTTGTTGTTGTTGTTGTTGTTATTGTCGTTGGGCATTTTGCGCATTGCCCGTCGCCAAAATGGAAAACTTGGCACACATTTCTATTAACGCAGGCGCTAGCAGCTACCCCTCGCCCCTTTTCACAGGCAACCCCGCCTGCCGGCCTCTGCCGCTGTCGCTGCCTCTGCCTCCGTCGCTGCCTCTGCGCATCGTTCTAGCGCATTGCGGAACCGGCTCACGCGCATCTCAAAATCTGTAAAAGCGAAATGTTAGTCCCTCCCCTCCTCTCTGACGCCCCCCCTGTTACACCCAGCACTGGTCTTCCTCTTTGTTATTCATAGCCATCGCCCATGGAGTGCTCCAAATCACGTCCAAGCCGCGGACTTGGCATGCAAAAATCTTCATTTTTTTCTTTGGTTTTTTGATATTTTTAGAATTTGTTTTGGGAACTCGTTTGCCAATTTATCTCAGTGTATGAGTGTGTGTGTGTGTGTGTGATTGTGTATGTGTGTGTGTCGTCTGCCGCATGGGCATCATCACTTTCTACCTTAAACAGGATTGGCACAGGATGCCACGTCGCGCTGATTATGTGACATCCCCATTGGAAGCTGTTCGCTGCGGCTGCCGCTGCCTCTTCCTCTGCCTCTGCCTCTGCGGCTGCGACTGCGATTGCTGCTGCGGCTGCAGCCGGGTGAAAGTTGTTTTGGGCCCGCGGCACAGTTTGGACCAAAGAAAATGCTTGGGTCTGGGCTGGCAGCTGGCCACATAGACTGTTTCGTCTGCCACCTGTCTATCTATCTCTATCCCTCTCTTGCTCTCTCTCGCTCTTTCTCTCTATGTCTCTGCATTAATTCACTTGACTAGCTGATAGGAGGAAAAATAATATACAAAATTTAAGCTTCAATTTGGAAAATTCTGGAAAAAACTTGGCGAAATTTTGAAGAAAATCTGAAAACTGCATTTTTTATACATTTTTGATTCAATAATTTTTTTTTAGTTAACTAATTTATGTGAAAATATCTTAAGAATATTTTATTATACTTTTTGTTATTAGAAAGGAAAATTTTTATTTAAATTTTGAAAATTCCAAATAAATGGACAACTAAAGAAAAATTGTTTATTATATTTGATGAATTGCATACAAACTTTAAATCTGAATTTGAAAAACATAAATTTAATTTTAAAAATAAAAATTATGTCAATTGAGTTTTTTAAAGAATTTAAATTTAGATTAAACAAAATTAAGAACATTTTCTAAAAATTATTCAGCTTCACTTAATAGCAATTATTTAGATTTTTTTGTGTATGTTTAAAAAGAAATTAAATTTTGAAAATTCTAAAAATTTGAAACCAATACAAAAGTTTTAAAAATCATTTTAATACGTCAAAAAAAAAAAAAAAAAAAAAAAAAAAAAAAAAAAAAAAAACAAAAAAAAATCTAAAAGAAATGTTAACCCACTTTTTATTTAATTTATTTTTAAATTTTATTAATTAAAAAAAATGTTCTGCATGTACGAGAAATTTAGTTTTAGTTTTCGAATCTTAAGATATTCATTATATATATGTTTATATTCATGGCTTAAAAAGCTTTCGAAATTGGAGACAAGTCTAAAATAATCTAACCAAAGCCAGTCATAATTCATATAATCTTAATAGAAAATAAATTCCTATGAAATTTCCTAATCAAAATTTGCTTAAACATCTTAAGACCAGCTTAAGCAAACTCAGATGCCTCTTATCATCTTATCTAAGACTTCACATAATCCCCAAGTTCAGTTGCTTAAACTCGAATCGACATGGATCTCAATAGACTTCCCGGCCTCACCCTCAGTCTGGGGCCATCATTAGTGTAAATCTAAATGATATCGTTACAATAATGCCCTATATAGTGCTACAAGAGTTGGCTGATAGTTGGCCTCGCCATTGAATGGATTCCCCAGCAGAATCTCTGACTGATCCGCGCTGAGTAATTAACGGCACTCGAACCGAGTCGGCGAAACCCAGATGCCTTACGTGCTGTGCTGTGCTGTGCTGTGCTGTGCACTGTGCTAAGGTATTTGAAAATTGCGAGCTCTGCTCATCCGGTTCCCGTTTTCTAGCCTTGACATCGTTTTTGGCCAAGACGGATTTGCCGGGCCAATTGGGTCGCTGGAGATGGCTAATAAGAAGAAAGAACAACAACAATCACAACAACAGCAACGACAGCAAAAAAAGTGAAATTTGTTACACTTGGCGCAGTTTTCTTTTGTTGCTTGCCATTGCTGTTGCTGTTGCTGTTGCTGTTGCTGTTGCTGTTGCTGTTGTTGTTGGCTTTCCTTATGCAATTGAATCGCTAGTCGCATCCGCCATTCGCCAACAACAGTTGCCAATTGGCAATTGGCATGCGACATGTGACTCTGCTCCCATTGTACTTAGTTGAAATTCTTGCCGAGACTGTGTCTATCTGTCTCCGTGTCTCTGTGTGTCTCTGTGTGTGTCTGTGTGTGTGTGTGTTTGTGTGGCAGCTCATTAAAGCAAGCAAGCAACATTGTTGCTTCTTCTTCTGCTACTGCTACTAATACTACTGCTGTTCTTCTTCTTGTGCTCTTGTGACCCATTTTCTTGTTTGTTTTGCACAGCTCGCCTTGATACGCGCGGATGAGGTCGAGGTGGTGAAGGCGATCGCTGGCGGCGGCGGCAACGATGAGCTCTCCCTTGGCCTGAACGAGCAAGACAATGAGGTGGACCAAATGGCGCTCGAATCGGAACAGGAATTGCAGCAGCAGCAGCAGCAGCAGCAACAACAGCAACAACAGCAGCAGCAGCAGCAACACCAACAACAGCAACAGCAGCAGCAACACCAGCAGCAACAGCAACAACAGCAGCAGCAGCAACAACTCCAACAACAGCAATCCGTTTCCATGCCCAAGGTGCAGGTGCATTACCCCCACAATGGTCTGCCACAGGCGCCACCTGGACTCAGCCTGAGCCTCGGCCTGGGCCCGGCCCGCAGTAAGTTGTTGTCCACATCCGCTTTGGCTCTAGCGTAAATCCCCTTTCGTCCCATAGGCAACAATCATCAGAACATCCCGATGAGCTTTGGCCAGCCCTTCGGACCGCCACCGCCGCCCGGCGCCCAGTTCTACAAGGGACCACCGCCGCCGGCACCGCAACGACCACTGGCCCTGCCCCCACCACAGCAGCAGCAGGTGCAACAGGTGCAGGTGCAGCAGGTGCCATCGCTGGCCGATCTAAGTGTGGGCGCCTCCAGCAACAATGAGATCTGGGCCTCGCCCGTCCAGGACATGCCCAAGATCGTCTCGCTGGACGTGAAGTGCGAGAAGAACGGCATGAAGGTGTTTGTCCAATTCGATAAGCCCTTCAATGGCATCGTTTTCTCGAAGGGGCACTACAGCAACATCAACTGCGTGCACCTGCCCTCCGGCCTGGGCCGCAGCTCGGCCAGCTTCGACATTGGACTGCACGAGTGCGGCACCGCCGGCAACACGGACAACTACAATCAGGGCTATGGCCACGATGCCGCCGGCAGCGCCGGTGCTGGCACCTACTTCGAGAACATCATTGTCATCCAGTACGATCCGCAGGTGCAGGAGGTGTGGGATCAGGCGCGCAAGCTGCGCTGCACCTGGCACGATCAGTACGAGAAGAGCGTGACCTTCCGCCCCTTCCCGGTGGACATGCTGGACGTGGTGCGTGCCGATTTCGCTGGCGACAATGTCGGCTGCTGGATGCAAATCCAGGTGGGCAAGGGACCGTGGGCATCCGAGGTGTCGGGACTGGTGAAGATCGGACAAACGATGACCATGGTGCTGGCCATCAAGGACGACGACTCCAAGTTCGATATGCTGGTGCGCAACTGTGTTGCCCACGACGGCAAGCGGGCGCCCATCCAGCTGGTGGATCAGCGCGGCTGTGTCACCCGTCCCAAGCTAATGTCGCGCTTCACCAAGATCAAGAACTTCGGTGCCTCCGCCTCGGTGCTGTCGTACGCTCACTTCCAGGCCTTCAAGTTTCCCGATTCGATGGAGGTGCACTTCCAGTGCACCATACAGATCTGTCGCTACCATTGCCCGGATCAGTGCAGTGCCGAGACCAATCTCCAGGATGTTCACCATCTGCAGGTGGGACCCGAGTCCCAGTACGGACCACCGCCCCAGCTGCATGGCGATGCGTATCATGTGGCCAGTGCGATCGGCAAGCGACGGGATGAGCGACGCGTCCAGCGACGTGCTCGTGCCGTGGCCGATTCCACGGAGCAAGTGGGTCTCAATCGCATCATCAAGGTGGTGTCCTCCGGCGATCTGACCTTTGCCATTGACGAACAGGCGGCTGCCGGTGCCGGCAACAACAGGAGCACCACTTTGCCCCAGACAATGGTCTTTCCGCTGCGCGAGGAGGGACTCATTTGCATGACTACGCCGGGCTTTGCCATTACGCTGATCGTGCTGCTGGGCATTCTGGTGACATCGTGCCTAATCTCCGCCGTGCTGTACGTCCGTCTGCGACCCTTCTCCAGCTTCGCGGCCAAGGAGCGCGCCGTCGCCTTCACGAATCCACAGCTGGCCGCCGGCCCACTGCCCGTCATCCACCTGCCATCGCCGCCCGAGGCACTGGCGGGCACGCTCTCCAAGAAGCGATCGCTATCATGAGCGCAACGCGTCTCTCGTATATCGCCCCATACACAAACACTCCCACGAAATACCCCAAAAGCATTTCAGATTGCACTAGTTTAGGCCATGCAACTAGCTAATTGTCTAAAGCGTTAGTTAAATAACAATAATTATATAATGCCCGTTAACTGGGCTCACGCCCGCCTCTGCCCAGATCACTCTCTCTCTCTCTCTCTCTCTCTCTCTTTCCACAACTTGCTTACTCTTTCTGCCCCTCTCTCTGTTGGTGGTCGGTCAATTGAAAAACAAAACAAAAATCAGATTTAACACAATTTAAAATATATGCTCTAGTTTAAGCCTAGGTTCTATTTTAAATCGGTGCTAAGCCAATGCTCACAGTTCAAATATTTATGCCCAGTCTGGCAACGCTCTTTCTCTCTGTCCGTCTCTTCCTCACTCTCTGTCTCTTCCTCTTACTGTACTGTCTGAGCTTGTTTCGTTTGCAGTTAACAGGAGCTGTTAAGCTCACTGTTAACTTTAACATTAGCATACTCTCTCTAGGACTATTCTTAACATTTATGCTTACAATATGCTTATACCTATATACACACACACACATACATATACATACACGTGTGTACGTGCGTGCATGCGTGCGCTTGGGTGTGTGTGTGTGTGTGTGTGTGTATTTCAATTAGTCACTAAATATTTTAAGTGCTTTAAACTTAGTCTAAGCTCCGAACTTGATTCGATTTTTTGACTCCATAGATCCGTCGATCCTTCGAACCTTGATTGCATCTTGTTAATTTAAAATATATTTATATTTATATACTTATTTATTGATTTATTTATTGATTTTATTTATTGATTTATCTATTGATTTATCGTACCATCTAGTTGTCACCCGCATCCAACACCCAATTTGTTTACGATGAGTATTTTTTTTTTTTTTTTTTTACTTTTACTTTAATTGTAGAGAAGGAAACTAAGCTAACAGAAATGTTCAGTGAATCATCAATAACAAAAAAAAATAATAATAAAAACAAATACATATTACAAATCTAATCGAATTCCTTAGATGAATAACACAATTGCCGGAGTGTACGAGCACTTACATAACCTTCATATCAAATCATATCTATTTACTTACTTACGAAATGTACGAATTACAAATACAGCTTTGCATCTATATACGAGCAAGACCAATAAACGACAATTATAAAAAAAAAACACACACACACACAAAGTCTTGGAATATTTCTTTAATTTGTTGTTTTTATATGCTCCAGTTTCAGAGATTTTTGGTCATAATATCAGCCGTAGTGTATTCAAATAAAAATGAGATCATCACTTTACGATATTTTTAGAGCGTATACAACTAAACTTGCTCTATTAAATTTATTTGTCCAGCTTCATTATCGATTTTGGTATACCCACGCCCTCTTTCTCTCTCTCATTCTCTTTTTCTTTCTCCCCCTCTCTCTGATTATCTAACTTCTGCTTCAGTCGTTCACCAGATCTTATCTCGCTCCCAAATGAAAGTTTCAAAAACATTTCAAAATATTCAAAATGAATGGAAACTTTTAAGGGCCAATAAAAATGTTGATACATACAAATCGCATTCCTCCTAGTATTTCAGGTAAGTGCCAAAGCAAACCTCTTGCTTATACTGGTTATAATCGAAACCTGCATAAACTTCACATTAAGTGGAGAGCATGTTGAGCGTGGAGAATGGGGCGAAAATTACTAAATTGCCTTAAGAGTAAGTATGCATATCTGTTTCAGCTCTATCGATGTTGGAAGATAGATAAATTGATAGATATTTAGATAAATAAATTGATAGGTAGACATATTTAACATATATGATATATGTATTGACAAATAGAAACAAAGACGAATAGATATATAGATTAATAATGCCAGATGGAAACAAGTGAAAGTGCTCAAGTCGAGACTGCTCGACTACAAGATTTCCTGAACCACTCGAAGAACTAATATTCCCATAATTTAAACTTGTTTAATGAATACACAAGAAAAAAGACAGGGAAATGGGTAGGGATTTGATGGATATTCCGATATAAGTGTTCTCATCAACGATCCACAATATTACCACGAGCTGAAAAAAGAAAAAAAGGAATAAAAAACACGCCATGATTTATCATATTTATAGTATATTTAATCTTAACTATAATTTATTATCATTTTGCCTTTAGTTCATTACAATTTTCCGAGTTTTCTCTGTTCTTTTATTCAGCTTTACGAGCGTTAATAAAAAAATTTAGTTTTATAAAGATTGTATAAATTATTTGGCCTTGACAACCGATTTTACTTTGTTGTTGTTTTTGTATTATATATATATTTAATTTATTTTTTTTTGTTTTTTGTTTTATTTTCTTTATTCCATTTCTCTAATAATAATTTTCTAGCGGTTTAAATAGGTAATAAATACATAAGCCCAAATTCACATAGATCAGCTATACGCAAATTTGGAATCAGATAAATGATGAATATGCCAAAAAAGTAGACCAAATCTAAATAGAGATACATATATGTATGTACAACTGCTCTATGTGAATTTAGATGTATATGAAAATAAAAGTTTTCGTTAAATTTCAACTAAAATTTTTGTTTTGTGTTCGCATAAAATTTGCCAAATTGACTGAAATTTGAAATATATTGTTTGAGTTTTATTTCCACAAATTTTACGCAATTCTCTCAATGGTTTAGCATAGAGTGAGATATAGATAAGATTCTTATACAGATTAAGATAAGTTAAATAAATAAATAAGTGTCCCCTAACATTAAGCATGTGCGTTGATGATCTATTTAGAAGTACGATTACATCGGGCAAAAAACTCTACTTTGTATTTGTATATATATATATTTTTTTGTTATTGTTATTGCAAATTTTACGACTAAATGCACCCAATAAAAAAAATACACATAATAAATAAATATTTTATGCAGCACCAAAAAAAAAAAAAGTATTGTGTGTGTGTGAGGAGCGGAACATCGAATGCAACACTCTGGAGTTGTAGCAACTGATTGTGTTTTTAGTAGTGCCTAGCTGAGATGAGGGCGACGAGTGTTCCATTCCATATTGTTTCATTAGCCTGTTTTAGTCAATTCGAATTCGGTTGTAGTTTATTTCAGCTAATTAAAACATGTGGAAGTGAACTTAGCTGTGTTTCATTCCATTTCGTTCCGCTCAGACTTTATGCGTCAAAGCATGTTGAACTAGTTCCTTGTCGTCTCTCTCGCTTTTAATTGTGGCAACCTAATGGAAGACGAAATGAAGTCTGTTCCATTCCATTCGGAATGTGACCAACTATAAAATTGAATACAGGCATGTTCTATTCCATTGGTTTTCACTACATTCCATGTGCTCTATTCATTCATTTCAAAGCGTAAATCGATGCATGTTCCATTTCACATCGTTTCTTCGTTCTTAGAACTAAATGTGTGCGAAAATTTCTCTTTCTCAATTGTGAAGCTGTAACAAACATTCGACTCATATCGATTGCTCGTTCCATTCCATTTTGTTTTGTCTTTTTACTAGATTTCTTGCTACTCTCTCTCTCTCTCTCTTTTCTTCTAAGTGTGCTGAATTGGAATTCGAATTAGGCGCAGGTGCATAACCTGCCAGTCAATTGGGCATTTTTCTTTGTGTTTACACAAAAAAAAATACAAAAAAAAAATTAATTAATTAATTACGTTGTGGGATACGATCTAGGGTATATCAAGGAAAGGGGCAAGGGTGTGGGGGCTGTCTTGGTCTCAATTTAGGGCGCTTATCGCAATCGGCTCACTGCACCGTTTCATGGCCAGCAACGGGAGTGGGCAACGGTTGCGGCTGTTGTTGTTGTTGCTGCTGCTGCTGCTGCTGTTGCAGGTGCCGCAAGCGGAAGAGTCGCAACGTCATCCAGGAGGCCAGGGTGCCCGGCACCGGCATGGGCGTGTGCTTTTCGAGCGCCTCCTTCTGCAGCTGGTAGCGATAGAGCAGCGAGCCGGCGATCAGCGCCGAGACAATGGTCGCCGAGATGACCACGATGAAGAGTATGCTGAAGCCGGGCACCGGCATGCAGATGCCATAGACGACTTCCTCGCTGATCTTGCCCTGAAAGACGGTGACCGCCTCCTGCTTGGAGTCCGGCGAAAAGGCCAGATCCGCCTCGGAGATGACATCGTACAGACCGCTGACTCCGACATCGGCGCTGCGCACCTTGCGATCGGAGATGACCAGCGATCGACGACGCCGGCGACGCCGCTGACTGTCTGACGGCGACTCTGTCGTTTTAGACTCCGCGGAGCTGTTGGCAATCGGCTCGTCGAGATCGATGTGATCCTCGCGCGGCTTCTTCAGCGCCTCGGCTTGCGGCCGGTAAACGGGACGCGGCACATCGTCCAGATCCGATTTGGGCTCCAGGGAGCGTGGTCCGGCCATGGGCACGCCCATGCGCTTCTGCGCCTCCAGCTGGCGTGGCCCGTGCGGGAACTTGCCGCTCTTCTTCAAGCCCAAATAGCGTTCACCGTCGCCATCCATGCCGGTTAGATCGTCGTCGCCAAACAAATCGGAGAGATCGACCTCCTCCTCGGGATCCTCGTGCACGGGCCGTGGCTGCAGACTGCCGCTCTTCTCCTCGTATAGATCGGGGCCAGGTCCGCCCATGTTCTGCTTGTGATCGTGTATGATGTCATCGTAGAAGATGTCATGGTCCATGCCCATGGACGAGCCCATGCCCAGGCCGTGATGTATCTGGCTCTGCGAGCCATGGCCCATGCCAGCCGGCGGCATGGCCAGATCCCTGTGCAGATCGTTGTTGCTGCTGCTGCCCATCGCATCCCCAATGTGCACATCCTTGCGCTCATGGGCATTGCTAATGGCCGGGCCCAGTCCGTCGCCGGCGACCGTGTTCTGGCAGTGATCCAGGCAGCCATGCCGGCAGATCTCCACCTTGCACTTGATGTGCACGCTGAGCGCATCCGGAAACTTGAAGGCATGGAAGAAGGCATACGTAATCACCGTCGCCCGCTCGTCGGGGGCGCGCGCCTTCAGGAAACGCGAAATCATCTTGGGACGCAGCACACAGCCAAACTCGTCCGACAAATTGATCACATGTCCCGATCCGTCCGAGGCGACGCAAGACTTGACGCGCATATCGAATTCACCTGCACAGGGAGGGAGAGAGAGAGTGAGAGATTGATTGACTGCTCGATTGATTGACTGATTGAATGGCGCACTTACCGCGATAGTCATTGATGGCCACGACCAGAGTGAGCGTTGATCCTAGCGGCACTATGCCGCTCACCGGCGGCGCCCAGGGTCCTTTGCCATGCTGTATCTCCATCCAGCAATCAACATTATCGCCTGCGCGGAGGAGAGCAGAGAAATGTTATATACTTATAATTACATTGGTTTTTTTTTTTTTTTTTTTTTTGGGTCAGCTAATTGAAAAAGGAAAGCACAGGCACGGCGAACAGATACCCTGTAATGTCAAGATTGATATGTCATTTGCAAGTCCAAAGTCTAGGCAGTGTCTCGCAAGGTTCTTATACGATGCGGAAAGTGCTTATTGTGTAAGCTTTGTGTAATCGATATTTATCGATTAACAAACGTTTAAGTGAATATAATTTTATTTGCATTTTTAGGACTTATACATACATACAAAGTTTTTGAAACATATATATTTTAAAAATTTATATCAAGCAATCTAGTCTGAAATCGATATTTATCGATTATCTAACATTTAAATTAATATCATTATATTTTAGCTTTTAAAAGTTTTCGAATATCGCCTGCAATCGATATTTAGCGATCTTTCAAGTATTGAGTGATTAGTTTGTTACTTCATAAAAAAATATGAAAATATTTATATTTTAATACTTTAAGGGCTACAAAAAAAAAGATATAGATTGTATGAATATTATCGATGTTTATCGATATATAAATATATGTATACATCGAATGACAAGCTGTTACTAACTGAAATGTAGAGCAAATGACAGACTTGAGCTCGCATACAGACTAAGGTTGTTGTCTGCCTTAGCCTTATGCCCTTCTTGACCACATTTCACTGGGAAGCAATAAAGAAGAGAAAAGAAACGGCCAAGGGCCCACGTTACTTACCGCGAAAGTCAAGCTGTATTACATCCAAATCGGCAATTACCATTGGGGGCTTGGAGGCGGTCTTCTCATAGTCGTTGAACCACTCGCAGCGCAAGCGCTTCGCCTCGTCCCAGACCTCGAGCAGATCCTTGTCATACTGCACGACTACCTGCGGTCACAATATGCCATTTAGCGGTTAGCGATTTAGTGGGTTAAGTAAATGGGCCCAACTGCCAGGGCCCCCGAGCAGGTGAATGCCCAGCACGTTGGGGACGTGGGAAAGCGTTCCACGCTTAGCGATCGCTAATCGGTGATCGGTTGGTTATGCGGAGCGGCTCAGTGTGATCAATGCTCCCATGGGTCTGCTTTTGGCATACGGATCGTACGCTATCTGTATGATCATTCACATTCGGGCTCCATGGGAATATTCATTAGGGAGCTCTGTTTGCTGATCGCCGTTCATAATTGATGATCCCTTTTCTTTGCCCTGCGTTCATTTGTTCATATTAATGCTGGCTTTTCATGTCAGTATGTCACACTCTCTCAATAATGATGAATAATAATGAAACTGATCATCAAGTTAATTGTAATTGTAATGATCCTGGTTTACACAATACCGGCTACTATCAATGAAGGATATCTTTCAGGGCTGGGGCTATCAGCAAACTGCACGATCACTTTCTAGGCAGCATCACTTATGTGATCCATCTATTGTATTAGCATTATTATGATCACTCTGCTCTACCCTCAGTACTCCTATACATAGGCTAATGGTCATTGAAGTTAGAGAGCAGCAACTATGATAAGAGTGAACTCATATCAAGATCACTCACTACATTGATCGGTATTAACATCATTATTGATCAATTTACCAAGGCCCTTTGATCACTATCCCTTCAGATCACCTTCCCACACTTCGTTCCCGTCGTTCCACTTACCGTATTCTCATAGAACTGGCCATTGAGATCCGGCTTGGTGCCGCAGCGTGAGTACGAGATGCGGAACGAGAAGAACGTCTTGCCCGTCGACGGTGGCACATAGACACAACGTGGATCACTGTGCTGTCCTGCTCAATACAAATAGGAGAGTAAATTAAATCGTTCTCTGATTGGATTTAGATCTGGGCTTACGCACCTTTGGAGCTGACAATGCCTTCGAAGGGATTGGAGAACGTCAAATGGACATCCATGTGATCCTTACCGCACATGACCTCCAGTGAAACTATGTTTGGCATACCATCTGGCCGATCCATGGGCCACAGTTCATTACCAGCTATGACTAAACTAAACTGTAAACGGAGAAGTAAAGCAATTTAACAAGATTAGTTGTCGATATTGTTATATGAATGAAAGGCTTAGCCGTGGCATTTTCACTGTAAATCAGAGCTTAAAATGGATGTTTAAGTGCCTATTAAAGTTACTATTCAAATAAGATTTCAGTACTAATTTTACATTTCCTGTATACCAAATGTGCTTCGACTATCTCGAAAAGTAGTTTTGGTGACTTTTTAACCTAAATTGATCATTTAGTATACTCGAAGACAAATTTTCGACCTCTACATAAACAGGCTCCAGGGATCATACCAAAATTACCCAAATAATATCAAACTAGCTTTTATAATGATCCGTCTTCTTAATCAACTTTTACAGAAAATCCTTAACCGCCTTGCAAAGAATTTTTTGGATACATTTTGAGTTTAACATCAGTGTTAGTCTCCCGTTATCTAAAATCAAATTGTTTTTAACGGAGACTCAAACTAACTTGACGAGTAAGGCTCCAGCTTTGTAGAACCAATAGGATTTCTGATAGAGACTTAGACGAGCACCCACAGTAGTTCCTAAAATCATATCAAACTAACGTCTAAACTTGTTAAGAGGGTACTTATTCCCCTTTTGAAGTAGTTTTTAGTCACATTGTAAGCTCGGAGTAAGTTTTTTGAGAACGAAAATATTTTCTAGTAGCTGCCCAAATGAGCTAAGATAGAATTCCTAGATTAAATAATAAAGAAGAGAGAAAGAGGGAGAGCGCTAGAGACAAATGGAGAGAGAGAGAGAGAGAGAGTGGGAGAGAGAGAGAGCGCTAGTGAGAGAGAGAAGGCAGACTGTCTTGCAATGTAGCTTTCAACCATATTGTAAGCTTAACACCCAGAATAAAGCTTCAGCTTTCTAGAATCGAAAGGAGTTTTAAGCCACCTCATAGAGAAACTCTTAGAGCCAGCTCAATCTAACTGCCAGCAAATCAAACTGAATCAAAAGAATCTCTATTTTGAAGCGCAGACAAGGTCTGAGCTGAGGGCGCAGTTGATGGCTGGCGAGATATTTGAGTTATTTCTTAACTGGTTTCGCTTTGCTACACATTTGGCCAAGTGTGAGAATTGTTATCAAAGCCTTAAAATAGCTTGGCTACAGTTTGCGGCGTGTTAATTGACTTTTCTGGATGTAATTTATTATGATTATTATATTCTACTTTTTCTTCTCCTTCTATCTCTGTTCGTTTCTCTCTCTTTTTTGAGCAGTTTTCTATGTTCGTGCATTTGTAGATCTTAACTGATGAGACTGACAACCAGATATGTAGACCGTTATAATTTCTAATTAACGCGATTCCCACTGGCAAAACTTGACACCTGTTGCTGCTGCCACCTGCTAGCAACAGGTAACAGCCAGCAAGCAACCTGCAACCTGCAACTTGCAACTTGCAACTTGCAACTGGAACTGGAATGGCTTTGGCTTTGGTTTTGGCATGGCATTTGCTGTTGACTTGACTTTGGCTGGGTAAATACATAGAGTTGCCAGCGTTGCCAGATCGGTTTTCGAGGACGTTAACCCCGCACCGACCCGTCGCGCCCCTCACTCAGTCGACGGCCTTGCAAATCAATCGATTTATTGTTATTCATATTCGATCCATATGGCATACATACATTTATTTTTAATTACATCCCGCCAAACATGTTGCCAATAAAAACGAAATGCAGCGGGCCAGGTTTCCGCTTCGCATTGAGAAAGCAAATTCCAAGCAGCCGAAGCAACAGCAGCAGCAGCAGCAGCAGCAGCAGCCTCTGCCTCTGCCTATATTTGCATACTTGCCCCAAGAGCCTGCCACACGAGAGTGCAGAGCTCCTAGACGAGGTCTTTGAGTTGAGTTGGCTTTAATTGAACGGCAAATGGAATTTCTAGCTGCACTTGCAGTAAAAGTTGATCCCCACACACAACAGCAACATTCAAAAATGCCACGCCCACTTTGGCAGCCAGCCTGGCCTGACTGACAGCTGTGCTGGCGCAAAGACGGTGCCAAATTGTCTACAGCGCAGCTACACTGCACAACATGATTAGTGTTTGCATTTACACTGGCCCACAGCACAGATGCCAGACTAGAGCATCCTCTGAGTCTCAGTCAGGGAGCATTTAACATCCAAGTCTATTATTTTCTTGAATCCAAAAGTACAAAATTTTCCCAGAAAAATATTTATTTGAGAGGATCTAGAAGAGTTGTTATATAAATATATGTACATAGCTAAGTACAGTTGTGTAGTGTGACACTTATATAAATAGCATTTTAACTTGTCCTATAGTCAACATGTTTGAAGTAGTTAACTATGGTATACCCTGTAAAAGCGCAAGTAATTTATGTTATACGAGACTGAAGTAATTTAAGTTAATATTTATAAGAGATCGGGAGAGGCAGAGTGAGAGAGAGGGAGATAGAGAAAGAAGGAGAGAGAGAGAGAGAGAGAGAGAGAGGGGGAGGAGAGAGACAGAGAGAGAGAGAGAGAGAGGAAGCGAGAGGGACAGAGAGAGAGAGAGAGAGGGAAAAAGATCCACTTATGTGTATGTATAAAGATGGAAAGTGAAAAAAGATTGTAAGAGAAGGAAAGCAAAAGCTTGAGAAAGAGAGAGAGAGAAGATTAACGAAGGATAAAAAGGGCGAGAGGAAAAAAGAAAGAGAAATCTCGAGAAACAAAGTGAGATAAGGGCTGAATATATACGCCTTATATGTATATTTCTTCTTCTATTTCCTTCCCTCTGTCCCTTACTCTATCTATGATATATATACATAGTATGTATTACATACATACATACATACATATATCATAATTAAAGTAAATCTTTCATAATTTTGTTTGTTGATCACGTTGACATATGTATATGTATATCTATTTACATAGATTCATTAAATTAGTCAAATATATTAATAAAATAATAATAATAATAATAATCTATTCAGGCTAATATACCCCATTTAGTCAAATGTTTACAGGGTGCATCAACAAGCTAATTTTGCATAAGTTTCATGCCTTTGCGTGTGTGTGTCCCACAGAATTCAAATGCTGATTAAGTTAATTTCATTATAATTATATTGAATTAAAATGCGCAACAAACGATAAAACAAATTCGAAGCTGGAGAAGCAAACAAATTCGCATGATAAATAAACATGAATTAAAAATAAATATGCGATTGGGCGTAGACGACTGCGCCATGCACGCGCAATCCATCAAGCACATCTATAAAGAGTAATACAGGGAATAATAAATACTAAATATATGTATATAGTAGACTTATCGATCGATCGTTTAATATAACTTAATATAACTCTATAATAAATTTTATTTTTATAAAATATCGCTCAACTATATCAGTTATGTATTCCAATATGCTCAGTTGAACTTTCTGAGCGTGTATATACAACAATATTTATGAATATGTTAATTATATTTAATTAATGGCACGAAGAGAATGAAGGTAAAAATAAAAGTCGCCAATTTGTTGCTCTATTATGGCCATTATTTATAATTATTCTATATATATATTATATATCTGCTGATGTATACGATCATTTATATTTGATCTCATATATTTTCATATGCAATAGCTCGTTGTATATTTTGATAGCAAATCAATCCTATACGATTATAATCAGTTATATACCAAGACATTATCTACATTGTATAAATGAGCTCCATTTAGAAAAATTAAATCAAATATATAGAGTAGCTACTCAGCTTTAGATTAGGCATAGAAAACATATGTCTAACAGATATCAGTTTATAGAAATAGCAAACGTTTTCATACCGATCATAGATATATAGCTATATAGCTCAATTGTCATAACTCTTCTAATATTCTCAAGTAGAACTCAGTGATAAACAATCTGGATGATCGTAGAGACACACAAAGAGTTAGATAGAGAGAGAGAGAGAGAGTGAGCGAGAGATTGTTTTGTGATAAGCACAAACATCTCTACCTCACTCTCTCTCTCTCTCTCGCTCTGCCAGTGTTAAGGCGCTTCAAGGTTAGAAAATGCCGGCTGGATAGCGCTTAATAGAATATCAGCATGACACGGCTATTTGGTAACGCTAAGCATAACGTACGTAGATATGGATGTACACATATTGTGTATATTGTATATGTATTATCATGAGAGGCACGCAGCCGGACACTTGGACTCTTGGGGCCTATAAAAACGAGGCGGCTGGAGACTTTGGGGTTCAGTCGAAGCGCAAAAAGCTCAGCGGCGTCACGTCATAAGTAAATAAATAATTGCGATATCAACATGAATCGTTGGGTGAATCGTGTGGCCGTCGTAACCGGCGCCAGTTCGGGCATTGGAGCCGCCAGCGTCAAAGATCTGGTGGCCAAGGGCATGATCGTGGTGGCGCTCGCTCGCCGCGAGAATCGGTTGCAGGAGCTGAAGGCCCAGCTGCCGGAGGATCAGGCCAAGCGCTTCTACTACCGCGTCTGTGACATCTCCGTGGAGCAGCAGGTGATCGAGACGTTCGCCTGGATCGACCAGCAGCTGGGCGGCGCCGATGTCCTGGTGAACAATGCGGGCATTGCGCGCAACAACGTGTTCCTCGTGGACTCCGGCAACAGCAATGCGCTGCGCGAGATTCTCGACACGAATGTGCTGGGCGTCAGCTGGTGCACACGCGAGGCCTTCCAGTCGTTGCAGCGGCGCAAGGTCGACGACGGACACATAGTGATCGTGAACAGCATTGCCGGCCATCATGTGCCCATTGTGCCGCACATCAGCATGAACATATATCCGTCGTCAAAGTATGCGATCACCGCCATGACCGAGGTCCTGCGCCAAGAGTTCCTCACCAAGGGCACCAAGACAAAGATCACGGTGAGTGCCAATTGGAGTAGCCAGAAAAGAAAGAAAGGGAACTATCTATGGTTTGCTAATGTCTTCCTCATCCTACCCCTATAGAGCATCAGTCCCGGCGCCGTCGACACTGAAATCGTCGACAGGAAGAAAGTGGCCGGACTCAGTAACTTCCCCATGCTGCGCTCGGAGGATGTGGCCGATGCAATCACCTACTGCATCCAGACACCTCCGCATGTCCAGATACACGAATTGACGATCAAGCCAATTGGCGAGAAATTCTAGAGATGCTCAAATGGCCGCTGCCCATGGATACTCTGCATTTCACGAAGTTTAGTCATATTTATTGCCACGCCTTCTTTTTTTTTTTTATTCCCAATAAAATGTTTTACTTCTTGACGCAACTGCAGGACATTTGCATTGTTTATTATATATTACAGGGTATGCACGTAGGGTATATAAACAAATACAGAATGGAAAGTGATTATCAAATGTTGCTCTCCTTCTCTCTCCCACTGACTCTCTCTTTCGAGCACTACTTGATCTGTTGCTCAGTCTACCACTCTCTCTCTCTCTCTCTCTGTCTTCTACTACTGTCTACTATTATCATTTAAACGGTCCACTCATTTTTGATTAGTTGTATAAACAATATAAATAGATTCTATCTATATATAGCGCTTCATTAGAACAACAACCATCTAGCATGACGATAATTTCAATTGTTTATATTTGCCTACGTATGTACATGTAAACAGTTATATATAAAAGCAATTATATGGACTCCTCCTATCCTATCCTCATCTTAGCTTTGTATACCCTAAGTCCATTGAACTGTACACTTGGACATACTGATTTTGTGAAAAAGTTTGTAACCAGAGAATGTTGCAGAAGAGTTCGCATATCAAGTATATTTATTCTTGATCCGTAAGACAAGCTAAGCTCAATCATAGACTTAGCCTGAATAGAGATTTTACTGTATATTAGTACGAATTGATATTTAGATACTTCAGAAAATGCATTTTATAGAGATCTTTAGGATAACATACAAATTTATCATATAATGCAAATATAGCATATATCTATAATTAATGGCATTTTTGGATGGTTTAATAAATGTAAACTGTGTATTTGACTAAGATTTCTGAAACTTATAAAGAGAGAGAGAGAGAGAGAGAGAGAGAGAGAAAAGCCTCGTTCCAAAAATTCCATTAATTATAGATATATGCTATATTTGTATAGTCGTAATCGAATAATCTATACAGAAACGATTTCCAGTAATACTATAGATGATCGGCAAAAATCGAACTCACAGTGAGTAATATAGATTTGTGGATTGATCGCGTCATTGAAATTAATCCCTAATAACAGTTTTATTGCCTAGAGCACTTTGCACTCAACAATGTTTCGAGCATGACCGAATTTGGCCAAGAATTTGATTTTTAATCAAGGTAAACAAAATACAACAATGCGAGAGACAGAGATAGAGTTAGATAGGAGAATAGTGATTGTTTTGATATAGTCCAACAGCTCCTTCTCTTTCTCTCTCTCACGAACTGATAACGAGTGTTCGAGTAATGTTAATATCAGCATGAGGAACTAAAATCTTATCATATTTAATATTCTGACTACTTGAACATTACGGGAGAGATAATGCAGACGATTAGTTGTGTGACACCTGAGCAGGTGCGTAAAACAAAGTAGCTAATAAAGCGAAGAGAATTCGAATTCTGTTATCGAATCGAATTGAGAGCTTATCATAACATTGAACTAGCTAAAGAACTCTCTTTCATTCTTACTCTCGCGATCTTACTCTCGATCATTTTACCAGTACTTCTCTTTCTTTCTTTCTTTCACCCGAAGGAGGCTTTTTTTCTCTCTCTTTCTCTCTCTCTCTCTCTCTCTCTCTCTTTATAAGTTTCAGAAATCTTAGTCAAATACACAGCTTACATTTATTAAACCATCCAAAAATTCCATTAATTATAGTATAACTTAATGTAATATCTATGCTCTGTAAATATATCTTGTTTATATGATTCAAAGTGACTTACCATTAAATGTAAAATAAATATACAGCTACTAAGTCTAAGGTCCCACAGCCGTGTAGGACCTTTTTGTGGGCTCCACATGCTGGAGATGTGGACGCTGCGGCTATATCTGCAAAGAAGAAGAAGAACAAGAAGAAGTCGTAAGTATGTATTCAAACTAAAGACAAATATATATATGAAAATGTCATGGGAGTGGACCTAGACACAAGTGTTTGGGTAGCAGCTGAGCACAGTGGTGCAAAATGATTGTAAATGCCATGAAATTCAAGTGAAATTATGAGATATGAGAGCATCTTAGTAGGAGAGAATCTTATACATTGATCTATACTCCACTATACATTGTCTATATTTAATTGACTGCATATAGATCATTTAAGCCTTAGTGTTAAGCATTTTGTGTTATCTTTAGTGATTACCTATAGGGAACTGCGAATAATTGCCGTTGAGATTACGGAGGAAGTCGTCAAACTGACCAACCTCAAGGCAAATAAACTAAGACGAAATAAACATTTTACAGTCGGACGCAATGGGAACTGCATATATGTATATGTATGTGTGTATGTAGCTCTTTTAGGGCTCATAAACATTTGAATGGGCGTGAGGCTTAAGTAAACAAGTGTTAATTAGTAACCGCCTAGTTGGCAAATGGACAGACATTTAAGCTTAATCATAAATGGATATGATATGGGTAACAATGGGTGGAAATAGGTCAATAGGTCAACGGTGTTTGAGCTACTTTGACAAAGGAAGAGCAATAGACTTTTATTAGCCTATTATTAGTATAGCAGAATATATTCATTTATATAGTATTATTTATCAGCATGCATAAGTCTAGTGTACTATTGCCTACTATCGTATAACTCTTTCTCTCTTTGTCTGGTTTTTTATGCATTTTGCCCCACTGTGCTTGCAACCGCCGATTAGCTGACAGCTGAGGCGAGAGCTGGCGTGAGTGGGTGGCATAGCGAATGCGGCTAATGAAAAGAAATTGCCCAATTGCGAAAATCTTGCTGGGAGAGCTTGACGAATGCGAATGCGAGTGCCAAGTGCGAAATGCATTTCGCCTGTCGCTCACGCTTGGTCTAGTTTTTTTTTTTTTTTTGTTTTCTTTGCAGCTGTTGACCCACAAAGGAGCTAAATTATTGAGCAAGCAACTCCTCAGTTTGTATACCTATCGATAGATTCGAGTGATTGTAAATATTAGAAGTTATCGGAAAGTTGTGTAAGATAGATGGAAAGCTGCATATAGAGACGGCTGGGCTAGAATTACTATGATAGCTGTTGTTCAAGGCTATCAGGTAAAAAATAACGAGCTATCGATAACTATCGATTAGTATACATTTCAATGGTAAATGTAATGGGAAGTTAAGTTTTAGTTAAAAGATTATTAAGTATTATAATCATTAATCAGACCATTATGACGGGTAATCCATAAAGAAAATTGTTCTATCGATAGCTATAGATCATTATCAAATATAAGCAACTATATAGATATGCACCTAAGGCTTTATAGCTTTAATAAGCATTAAGCCTTAAGTTGCTTGAGGTGCTTAACGCATTCCTCCGCGAAAGCAGAATAAATTTTTCCCATCCACAAAGTCCGATTCAGGCTCAGATTGCATTTAACCCGAGCAGCCACAAGCCATAATTGAAATTAAGTAAACGACAAGTTGCTTGAAGCCCGACGAATTGCGGCTTCCCTTCACTGGGGCCAGGGGCCAAAGCCCCATTGTTTACTGCCGAAAAAAAAAAAAAAAAAACGGAAACAAAAACAAAATCTGTGCCGCAATTTATGTTAACGCCCCAACAGCCAAAGCAATTTGCTTTATGATATTACGAGGCTATAATTTAAAGCTACTCAAATTTAATAAATGAAAAATATATACATAAATTTTAGAGTAAAAAAAAAAAAAAACATAAAAATTAGAGAGATTGTGTTGAGAAAGACAAAGAGAGGGAAAGCGCAAGAGAGTACGAAAGAGAAAGAGAGGGAGGGAGATAGAGATAATATATGGAGTGGGTAAATACACTTTTATGACAATAAATTGAAAGCCAATCAAGTTAAGTCTAAAGATTTAACAAAAAGACTCGAGTTTGGCTTCATTAATGCGAAATTTCGATATCATCAATGCTTTACGAAGTATTTTCTTTATGGAATACAATTATGCTCTTTAATATATCCAATACTATATTAATATATAAATATGAATTGGGCCCATTGAGCAATTTTGAAAGCATCTCAATTGATCTCGGGGCGAACAATCGATTCAATTCAATTCTTCTATCAATGCATCGATTGTTAGCGATATATATTTTTGTTACATAAATTCCATAAGATCGAAAACGATATCGAACTTATGTTAATTGCGCATATGTTTACATTTTGGGAACAAAAGACCAAAAAATATTGCGAGTTTTTAGTTTTGGCGGATTTTGTTTAGCCGATTTTCAGTGGGTATATCGTATATACATATATATATATACATATACATATATATATATCTATACCAAATTCTCCATATCAAGCCAAGTTTTATTTTTAAATACAGAAAAATACGGAATGTTGGGTATTATCTAGTCGTGCATTCCCCACCAAAACTCTTCAAGTTAACTCAACTTTGACTATGCCCAAGTCTAATGGGATTTATCAATGTCAAATGCAAGTCTGTTGTTAGCTGTAGAAATTTGCTGGCCAAAATTGTTAGTTGGGGCTAACAAACTCCACAAATTTCATAGAGCATGACAACAACAACAACAACAGCAACAGCAATGATAATAATACTAATAACAACAACAACAACAACTTATTCAAATAAAAATTTGTTCAATTTCACAAAGAAATTTTGTGGAGAGTTCTCAAAATAATTTTGATTAAGCCAAGTCAAAAGCAGCTTTTCGCACTTTCACTGCAATTTTGTTGAAAGACAATTCGCCGACATTTTGGCTATATGAATCATGGTAACAATCAGCCGGCCAAGTCAAGCAGTCAATCAATCAGTCAATCAGGTGAGCGAGTGAGTGACTCAAATGGACGAGCCCACAATCATAATAAAAGCAAAGCGAAACAGATGAGGAGGAGGTGAACGAAGAAGAAGAAGAAGAAGAAGCCGTTTGTTTTTCTCTTTTATGATTGCCTGGCTATTTGCGCACTTTTACCGCCAAAGGGGCTGGTGAGGAGGGGGCGGGCTAAACTCAAACAACAGGTGAAAATGAAATCGAAATTGTGTTGAGCTGCTTTCAATCGATTTGTGAGTTACAGCCCGAACAAAAGGCGGACACACACACACACACACACACACACACACACACAGACAGTAGCCGGCAGCTGTGTGCATGCCATAGATACAATAAGACAAAGAGATACAAAATGCAGATACAGAGATACAGATACAGATACAGTTGGCTACTTCCACCGGCCGCTTGAATTCAAGCGCAAAAATGCGGTCAGAATCGCGCGCAGAACTGTAAATTGTAAAAAAAAAAAAAAAAAAAAAAAAAAAAAAAACGAAGAAGCGGAAGATGGGGAGCAAGAGGGGAAAAACAAATATAAAAGAGCCAACAACAAATGAATCAATAGAAATGCGATTCAACAACGGTAAATTGTCTGCTTATAAAGTCTAAACATCTGCTTGTTTTTTTTGCGTTGTTTTTTTTTTTTTTTTTTGTCTTACTTTATTATATTATCTTCTTCTTCTTAAAGTTTTTGTCTTTAATTTGCGCCCAATTAATTTCTCTTTTTTGGGCAGCGCATTTCACTCTTTGCCCGCTTTTAAGTTGGCTAATTGGCCGATGCGTCGCACCGGCTCTCGATCAGAGCTGACGTCGCGTAGATCACATCAAACTCACTATTAGTCTACCTCAACCTACCTCTACCTCTACCTCTACCTCTACCTCTACCTCTACCTCTACCTCTACCTCTACCTCTACCTCTACCTCTACCTCTACCTCTACCTCTACCTCTACCTCTACCTCTACCTCCACCTCTACCGCTTCCTCTTCTTTGTTTTCTTGCCTAACTGTTTAATGTTAATCAGAAATTAAGAAATCTTTATTGTCAAACATGTGCGAATCTCCACAAAATAGATATTGCAATACATCCATTTGGGAGTGAAAACCAACTTCCTGAATTTATAAGTATATGTTGCAGTTATAGAGCGCAAAACAGTTATGTATAGATCTGACAGAGCTATGTGTCTTAACTATATAGAATCTATTTGCATATTAGTTAATATATTCTAAGATCTTAGTTTCTTACATAGAACATCATTTCTTTACTGTAGATCATAGGATATCATTTCGCTAGCAAACAATTTTAATGTAGTTCAGGCAGAAAGTGTAGTCTATTTATTAGTGATATCACATAAATATAATATTGCTTGATAGGAACTTTGATTTCATGATTGCAGAAGACAATTTAGCAAAATATCTGTGAGATGTGCTAATAATTTTAATTGATGTTCTTTTTTCTCTATATTATAATCATTTAATATGGAAGTGGCTCTGATAATAAACGGTTCATAGCCATGGGAAGGCCATGGCAATCGAAATAAATTATTCTGAGACAGAAGATAAGGTTGATTTACAAGAAGAACGAGCTCCGAAAATATGATTTAAATAAAATGATCTGTATAGAGTCTGATTGCAGTATCTATATAATATGTCTAATTATATTTATAATTAACATGATAAGCTTCAGCTTTTAAAATCAAAACTAAAAAGAAATTCTACGAAAGCTCTGTTCTCTATTATATAATGCTGAGCACCGACTGTGACCTAGAAAGTTAATTGAGAGTCTCTACGATTGACTCTAACCATGACAGCTACAACATCAACTGTTTGCCTTGATCTTAGCCAAGTTGGATCGATCGATCGCAGTCTCGGCAGCGTTGCAGACGCCATTACGTCTAACTGTTTTGCATGTGGCAGCAGCTGCTACAATCTAACTCCCCCACACGAACGTGCCTTCCTCTCCCCCCGCCTCCTGCCCGCCTTCGACCAATTCAACCGCTATGGCGCCCAATTAAGTGCGCCTGGCTTGGTCTTGGGATGCATTTGAGCCGCGAGTTGGCGGGCCTAAATATGTAAGCCAAAGAAAGTGGCAGGCAGCGT